GTCAGGCTTTAGCACCCCTTCCTGCTTTCAGTAGTATTCAAGCTGACACCCCCACCTCACATCACCCACTACCATACGTGCACAAATCTGGGACAGTCTGTCTCTTTTCTCCTTTAGAATCCAGATCCAAAATGTACCTCTTACCAAATACACAGTATTCCATTATAACCCATATGTGTGTGTTATCTTTCTGATATTTTTCTATGTATTTCTCCATCTTAATGATAAGTGTAGTCTCTTCCACTATAGTGTGGTTGCCCCCTGGGTGCATCAGCTGAAATCATTGACTACATAATGGTGCTTGTAGAAATGCTTGCTTTTGTGGACAAGGTGTGATGAAGATTTTTAAGAAACCTAGATAAAATACTGGATAATGGCAATAAATCTTACTGCCAGATCAGTTCATACCAAAGTAAGCATGTAAGCCCATTGAAACAGTCATCTGGGATGATGCTCTGAGGCTCAGAAAACCTGACTACTGTCCAGGTTTTCTCTGTGGTATATACTGGAAATTAGGAGCCATCACCTCTGACAGGCAGGCTCAGCCTGCCTACGGCTGAAAAGCACCTGCAGAAAAGGAATTGTTATCATTTTCATTATGGGTATACTGCATTGCTCTTGGCTCCTTAAATTGCTAGTTCTCCTAAATGTTGTCCTTTCCCCTCCCCCAACCCTAGAATCAGGTTGAAATGTGTGTGTTGCATTAGCAGAAGTATCTTGGAAGAAGATACAAAAGACCAGACAAATGCTCTTTAAGCAAATATCCTTCCCCTTGTTCCACCCAAAATTATCTAGGGATGGACTCAAGAAAACAAGACATCGCATCACAAGCCTTTCCTGGGCTGAAGCAGAACTGTCTCCCCTCACTTAACCTTGGCAGTCGCAAGCCAACTTCCGATTTTCCCCACTGCAGGATTTTCTCCAGTAAGGCAGGAATAATCACATGACCACACGGCTAGAGACTGTCAGCCCAACTTGTCGTGTCACCTTTCCAAACACCTTTGCATTAGGAAGAGACAGGCAGCTCCTAACTGGGTCGTGCTACCCAAAGCTGTATCTATGCATCAGCGGCAGCTGTGGAGAAAACTCCCAGGCCACCTTTTTACATGTGCTTCTCATTGGATTACTGTTGAATACACTTTTTAAGTTGTCCCTAAAATTGTCAGTATGAGTTCCTAGGGAATGGTCAAAGTCTTCCACTGTATAGGGCAGTCGGGCCCATGGTCAAGCTATAATGATGGCTCCTCACAACTCTCCACTGTTCAGTTATTCATCCCCGAGTATTCCCCAATTTGGCTCTTCTTTTATCTGAACTCTTTCGAGTGGAGGAATTGATATTGTCTATGTAAGGAAGGGATCAAAGGAGATCCAGTATGTATAGGAAAGAGCACTGGGCTAAATTCTAGACCTGGCTCTGTTACCATCTAGCTTTGTGACCCTGGGCAAGTTATGTAAGTTCTCTAGATTTCGTACTTCCTCTGAGGTTTCTTCCAGTTCTAAGCTTCTCTGATTCTAAGCAGACATTTGGGCTCCTATCACTCCAGAACTCTTTTGTTCATTTTTCGTGGTGAATAGTTTTATGTAATGTAGCTTCTGATATTATATCACACCAACTCAGTGTGTTTTTGCTACTTTTGAAATGTCCAGTCATAGACAATGCCAGAGAGTAAATTGGACACCTGACGCAACTCAGATTCTGCCTAGACTTTTCAAAAAGCCAGATGGTACGAGATTTTTAAGTGCCAATTAAGCCTGCCTCGAATTCTCTGCCACCCCAATCTAATAGAAATCATCCAATCACATGTCAAGCAATTGTTCAGGCAGCTGGGCCAGATTTGTACAAAAGGAATACGTAGGCCTTGGAAACTAGGCCTTCTCTGTGGTGCCTTTGCGGTCCATGTAGACATCCTTCAGATCAGGAACTGGAATCCCAACCATCAATCAGTTAGCATCATCAAATAGGGGAGGCCAAAATTCCAGTACCAACAACGGGTCTGCTTAGAAAAGTCAAGATCTGAGGGGGGAAAATGTTCTGCTTGCTATCGTTTAATTATGACTTTGTGATTCAGAGATATTGGAAGCAAATATGAATGAGCCAACTCTCAGGACCAGCTGTCAAGTGCTTGGCTTATAATCTGCTGTCATCCCATCCCAAGTGCTCCCGGTTTGACAGCTCACCAGCTAGTTAAATGTTTGTTTCCTCCACTGCTCTGACTCATCCTTGGGCTGTGAAAGGGCATCACAGCTAGGCTATTTGCAGGCTGGTAACATCCCAGTGGTTTGAGTTATGATGACTTAGCAGCCCTGGTTTTCCTCCTATAGGACAAAGGACACCACAGCCCTCTCCTTGTGAGATGGAACATATAATCTAAAACTGTTCTGTGAAGAGATAGCATTTGTAATGAGGCATTCTTGCTGGTGGCCTCCAGAAGTCTGTATTCTGCAACCACTTAATACCACTTTAATGAGCTTCTCACTAGAAATTGTCAAGAGCTCTCACTGACATCCTTGAAAATTATTGAGTTAATGGTTTATTTAGAGGAAAGGGCAACATCTTCATGGGGAGAAGGCTGAGTACTTGGAATATCAAGACAGCTGGCAATAGGCACACTGCCCTGAGAGAATGAAGAACTGGGAGAGAGAAGAGGAAGATAGTTATCAGTTATATTAGTAGCAGTTAGAAGTATGAGATTAATGTAAAATGCAGAAAAAAGGAACGGTTAACAAAAAGTATTTGTGTTTATCTAATGCAGAACAGATTCTGGTCCCTTTCTCAGGACACATTTCTGTGGCAGTGAAGAGTAATTCAGTAGGCAACCGCAGTTTGGGAGCATCCAGTTTCTTCTGTTCTCATTCTGTTTTCCCTGAGCAATCTTCTGAGGTTAATTGAGTCTCCTTAGTAGATTTTCCTACTGAGAAGTAAAATGACCAGCTGTCATCATTTTAGTTCCCTTAACAGTTACTATTCTCATTGTAAACTGGCCTGATCTCTGTTCCTTTTCTGGGCAGTTTAGTTAGCAGAGTAAGTTTTTCCTGGGCCAAATCAAGTATTTAGACCTGCGAGGCTGTAGTTCTGAACCTTAGAACTCTACAGTCTGGTAGATTTCCCAGAAAACATCTCATGAATATCCACCACAATATCTTCTGCTTAAGTCTTTTAGTTCCAAGGAATGTTGATTCCTCTTTCACCCTCACTCAAATCCTGGGAGGAAAGGTGGTATGAGCAGTAACCCAAAGCTGCAGGAAGAGGAAACTGGCTCTTCCTGCCCTCCTGAGCAGCCTCGTCCCCCTCAAACCAGAGGCGTAGCCCCGCTTGTGGCCAATATACCTTTCCTCTACCCTTTGCCGCACAGAAATAGCTACACCCTCGGCTATTTATGTATACTTCCACCCCACCCTCACCCCAGATTCTAGAAAACACCAATAAACCCTTCTCTGTGCTACTAAGCCACTTCAGCAGTTATCTTATGGCATCCCTCATTTGAATATGCGAAAAATCTAAAGAGATCATGTGACTCCATCAGTGTCACAGCAGGTTGGTGGTGGAGCCAGGACTAGAGCCCAGGTCTTGTGACTCCAAGCACAGCTTTCCACTGCATTGCCTCGCCTCACTGCACTGCTCTGGTGTTTGTATCTGCTGACCTTGGGGGCACTGAGGTGAATAGATGGAGGCAACAGAGGTGAAGTGCAAGATCAAATGCAGAAAAAAATGACAAGGCAGGCTGCCAACAGGAACCGAAATTACAGGAATGAAATGAGCAAAGAAGGCACACTGACTCTACGTTCACATTGATTCATAAATGGAAATTAATCCCTTTCTTTCCTCCACATTTTACCTCATTTAAGAGTGTGTCTGTAAGCAATAACATGACTTATAGGTGTCACCTGACCAGGTTTGAGGATAAATGAGAGAGAAGGCAGTGGAAATTGCCTAGTCCTTCCCAGCTTGTCTTTCATGAGAACCCAATTCTCACATGATTGCTAGTGTTTAACGGTAAATGTCAGACAAAGAGGAAATGGGAAGAGAGAAGAGATTTTCTGCTGAGGCTAAAAAATATATATATTTTTTTAAAAAGCGATGCATACTGATCTAGTAAGACAGAGGCCACTGCTTATCCCAATGGGCACAGTTGGAAGAAAACAAAGTGGTGCAAAACCACTAGGGAGGAGGGACATAGCAGGGCCCAGGGCAAGGAGCTCACCGCGCCAGGGCAAGGAGCTCACCGCGCCGGTACTTAGCTGTCAGTCAGTAACTGAAGCGCGAAGCCTCCGTATACACACACCACAGACGAGCCTCCTGGTTCCCCACCTCCCATTCCTTTTGCTGCCTGGTTATTTCCTTGACTTTTTCCAGAGGGAGGGAAATGCCAAGGAGACCATAGTAATGCCAGGCAGTCTTTTTCTTTTTTTTTTAAGGAACGCTTCTGGTAATAATTTATTAGAAAAGTTGCCACTCTATGCTCAAGGCTACTATAATCACATCTTTAAATATTATGTGGATTTTCACTTTTTAAAAAAATTATGTTGTGGTAAAATATATATAACATAAAATATGCCATTTTAACCATTTTTAAATATACAAGTCAGTGGCATTAATTACATTCACAATTTTGTACAATCATCACCACTATCTATTTCCAAAAATTTTCCATCACCCCGTGCAGAAGATCTGTACTCATTAAACACTGCTGTCCATTCCTCTTGACCCTGATAACCTCTAATCTACTTTCCATCTTCATGAATTTAATATCAGGCATTCTTAATTAGCTATATAGACCTTCTAAAGTGTAGCAGCAGTAGAAAAGAACAACCTGAGGTAAAAAGGAAAGGGGATATGAATAAAAACTAAATTCTCATTTTCTTAAATATGACTTAAATCCTGTAATAAAAGTTGAAAACCTTTATTATGACTGAGCAGTTTTATCCCCCATTCAGAGAAAGCAAAATGAAATCCCTCTGCTGTGCTAACGTATTAATAGCATCTTTCTTTCTCTTTTCAGTGACCATGCAGCAGGTGGCCAGGACAGTGGCTAAAGTGGAGCTCTCAGACCATGTGTGTGACGTGGTGTTCGCGCTCTTTGACTGTGACGGTGAGTGGGGCCCTCTGGAGTCAGGAGGGAAAACTGAGCCTCACCTGCCCTTAGAGACACTGTTGATGACGGGGCCTTGCAACCAGCGTCAAACCTCGTCAGGCCACCCCTTTCCCAGCCCAGTAGCCCAGCCCTCATCATCACGATACTGAGAAATGTAACCCCTGGCCCTGGTTTGTGTTTTCCATTTCTTCTTGTCATCCCAATTTGTCTGTAGGCCTAAATTAATTTATGGCCATAAGGATCTTAAAAATGGAAACAAAAATATTAGACTCCACTTGCTGCTTAGCAGATAAGGAGTACTCGGGTATTTCAGTGTCTCTAGAAAGAAGACAGTACTGATCTCTCCACTCCCAGGGCCCATTTCAGGCACGTGCATTCTATCGGCACAGCTTTCCAGCGCCACACAGGGGTCTGTCGTGTCTATGGCTGCTCTGTGGTTTGGCCCATTGAAGAAACCTGGTTCTGCTCTGGCATTAGTTTTAGCTGTGGTAGCTGACGTGACGATAACAACAACAAAAACAACAACAACAGTGGAAGCTCACATTTTTTTTCAGTGCTTCCTATGAGCCAGAAAGTGAATCTGCTTAGTTAATCTTCTGATGTGAGTGTTGTTATTAACCACATTTTACAGATGAGGAAGCTGAGACTCAGGTTAAGTAAATTTCCCAGGAAGGAAATTTGTGTGTCACCCACAAAGGTGACAGTAGATGGCAAAACCAGGACTAGAACCAAAGCTGTGCTGCCCGCCTCTATACTATATTACCTCCGTCTTACAGCCAATATTTGTTGTTCATCTTCCTCCAGGAAGCCAGGCTAATGGCATTCAAGGGCCAGCTCAAACACTCCAGCCTGTGGAGCTTCCCTTTTGGTCCCCAGCATAATAAATCACTCTGGCTTTTTTATTCCTTAACTGGGTTCTGTTTTTCTATGTTAGTACATACTATACTCTGTCTCCATGTATCTGACTTAATTTCCCTATTAAATTGTGAGTTTTTTAAAGGTAGTTACAAGTCCTTTTCACCTTTGGACCCCTCAATAGGACCTTAGATAGTACTTTGCACATAACAGATGTTTATTAACTTGAATTATTTTAAGTTATTAAGTTGAACTTGAATTATTTAAATCTCCAGCCTGTACCTACAAACTGAGGTCCAACTCAAAGGGGGTCCCAGGGCTAGGTTAAGGAAATGGCCTCATTCTTAGGCAGGGATGGGTTATTCTCTAGAGCTGCCCTGTCCACAATGTGATACCACAAGTCACATGTGGCCATTCAAATTTAAATTAATTAAAAGTAAATAAAATGAAAACTCAGGTCCTTGCTCTCTCTAGCCACATTTCCAGTGCTCGGTAGTCTGGAAATGAGGAATTTTCCTGGTGAAATCAAAATCAAAATTTGGCTTTGGGTTCATCCACTACATTCCAGCCTGGATGACAGAGTGAGACTGTGTCTTAAAAAAATATATAAAAATAAATGTTTTTTGGAAAAAATTCAAACCACCTAGATAGAAGTGATTAGAGTGAAAACAGAAATATGGAGAAAGTCAGTATGTTTACAGCAGTGCTGTTCCTTTGAAACTCTCTGGGATGTGGGGAAATGTTTTGTATCTGTGCTATTCAGTACAGTAGCCACCAGCCACATGGTCATAGCTCACTGCAACCTCAGACTCCTGGGCTCAAGGCAATTCTCCCACCTCAGCCTTCCTACTTGTACTTCTTCAGCAACCATGCCACTTCCTGCCTGTGCTCTTGCTTATGCTACTTCTCCTCCTTGGAAAGCTTTCCCCATCTCACTCCCCTTTACTTGGCCAAGTCCTGCTCATCCTTTGAGATTCAACTCAGGAGTCACTTCCAGGCAGCCTGTGCTGATCTGTGTTTGCACTACCCCAGCCTGGGTTAGATATTCTTCCTCTGTGCCCCCACAGCATCCTCTGTTCACCCTGTTATAGCTCTTACCACACTGTTGAAATAATTTGTCCCTCCCACCTGGGAGTATTTCAAGGGACAAAGCACAAAGCTTGCTTATCTCTTATTCTAAACACCTGGCACAGGACCTGGCATATACTATATTGTCATTCAACTTTGTCACACTACACCGAACTGTCACTGAATTGCAGTTGGAAACATCATGGAAGGAGCAAACTAGTTAATTCTAAAACAAGAGAATTGAGTTTGGCTGTGAGAGTGTGCTGGGCTTTGAAACCCCACATTGTATGAACAATGGAATTTTCTCGGTGCCTTTGTTCCAAGTCTTCCACTTATCCCTGTTGTGTTTGCCTCTTCCTCTAGGCAATGGGGAGCTGAGCAATAAGGAATTTGTTTCCATCATGAAGCAACGGCTGATGAGAGGCCTGGAGAAGCCCAAAGACATGGGCTTCACCCGCCTCATGCAGGCCATGTGGAAATGTGCACAGGAAACTGCCTGGGACTTCGCTTTGCCCAAATAGTAACCCAAAACTGCAGGAGGGGGTCACCTCTTCACCCCAAGCACGCTGGACCCCCTTGAGCAAAGCCTCGGCGTGGCCCTCCATGCTGCTACTTCTGGAAGTAGTTTTCCCCTCCTCCTGGGAATGACCTCAGGATTCTACCAGTTTCCCCTCTTTCCCCTTCCCCTGTCCCAGTGTTCTGCCAGGCTCTGATTCTGCCCAGTGATTATCCCCACAGGTTCTCAACAGCTTGAACAAGTCTTAAAAGCTCAGACATTTGGCATCTTCAACAGCACTATGCATTCAAGCACCCTATGGATAAAGAATGGGGGAACCATCCACACACCTGCCAACCCTGGGAAACATCCAGTTCTCGAATCATTTTTGCTGTGGATTTATATTAACAAGAACATTGCTTGCCTTTCCTCCTGCCGGTATTTTTAAGCTACAAGTTGGAAAAATTTCTGGCAGGCAAAAGGAAATCTGTGATGAACGATAATGAAGATGACCCGGATGCTCTGAGCTGGTGAGAAGCCTGGGCCAGAGGAAGGATGCGTGTCAGTCACGGGGGCTGGCTCCGAGGCCTGCTCCAGGCTAGCCGCGTGCTCAGTAGGCCCAGAGCAAGGTTCATAATTTAACGTAGTTGCTTCATGGCTCTCTCCACACCCTTCTTTTCCTCTCAGGCTCCCTAAGATGGCTCCACCATGACTCTGTGCTTAATGAGCAACGGTGACCGAGTCCCTGTTCCCTGCCAGTGCCATTCCCCTCCGGGATGGGCCTCTGAAGCTGAGGCCTGGCTCAGATCCCATAAGCCCTCTGTGTCAAACACTTGTAAAATATCACTTTAATTATAGCAGTTTGCAATAAACACCCCAAAGTCTCCTGTCTTCCTTAATTTAGGATCATCTAGGGCCCTTTTCATTTTACTTCTCCACTGGGTTTGAGATCCTGCTAGCCGCAGACCGATTTTTTTCCTTCCAGAGTCTGGTTCTTTCTGATGAAACAGAACTGTAGGCGCAGAGAAAAAGAGGCATTTGGAGGTCAGTGGTGGCATTGTCCCAGCACACTTTGGTTAGCATTTCATTCTGGGCCAAGCCACACAGTCCTTGCTTATTCATGGCCCACAACAAGGAACTAAGACGGGGTGGTGGAGTATGTGAGGAATCAGCTGACGTTGTGGACTCGGTCTTAAGGACCATAGCACCAATGTTATACGACGGACCCATCTCTGCCATGAAGCAGTGTGGCTTGAGCAAGTCATTTCCCATCTGTTCCCTCATCTGTACAATGACAGACAGAGGTGAACTAAATGAGCTCTAAGGTTTCTTTCAGGTCCAAAAGCCTCTACTTAGTTCTCCTCCAGAATTGCTGCAGCTCCAGAACCTCCAGGTAGTGCTCCCTGGCATGGCCGAAGTTCAGTGGCTGGCTCCGAATGTTGGCAGGGAGTGCCTGTCAGCCAGAGAGGAGCAGAGGCCTGGCTCTGCACCTGCGGCTCCACAAGGAAGGCACCAACCCCAGCATTTCCTCCAGAGCACTTTAACAGCCTCACTTCTAACATCCGTGCTGGGATATCAGATTATCTATCTAAGGCGTTTGCCACTTTCCTACCTCATCTATCGTCCACCCTTTCCCCTCTTGGGGTATTCCTGGTATCCAAGTGTTAGGCTTTGCCTTGCTCATTGCCCCAGGCCTGAGGCTTAAGCAAAATGGGAGCTTTTCTTAAATTTGTCCCAGAATCCCAAAATCACTCTTTTCCCTGATCCTCCTTTCTCCAGCTTGAAACAGAAGTCCCATTCACATCCTTTGTGGGCCATTCATTCCCCTACAAGAAGAAACCTAGTGATTGGCCTGGGTTCACTGAAGCTGGAAGCCAGAACATGGTGGGAGAGGGTACGGATCACCTGCAACATCTTGAAACCCAGCATCAAGGCCACTGTCACAGAGAGATGAATTCCAGATGAACTCCATCAGCTCCTAGGAGTGCCTGAGGAAGGGACAGGGTGTCCAGGTGCTCTAGAAAACGTGACAGCCACACTTTGGCACAATAGGTTAAATGTGCAGGTGAGAGGTACAAGCTAAGTCACCCAGAAAAGGCCAGGGTCCCCCAAGGGAGAAGTCCTTGGGCTAGGTGGCACGTAAGTAGGCTGAACGAATCTTAGTAGGCAGCGTTTATGGGTGAGCTGGGGAGCATTTGGGAACACACAAGGCTGATTTATGCTTCATTTTTCGTTCAAATTGTTTCTTCTACCTAGATATTAATAGAATAACCCTCCCCTCCTCCTTCAAAACTCAATTCAAACTTTCCTTAGGAAGCCTCCTTGCTTCATCCCCTTCCAGATAAGATAATCGCCCTTCCTTTGTCCCCCAAGAACCACTTGCCCACCCTTCACCACACTACTCTAATTCCATGTCATGTTTGTGAGATTGTCACCCATACAGTATAGACCAAAATTGGTGACATTGAAGAAACAGTCCACCACCAAAAGCTAATTTAGAAATAACTCTTGGACAAAATCATACAAGCAATGCCTCAATATATTGCTCTTACACAACCACAGCCATTCTCTACTTTTGTTGTTCTCTACTTTAAAAAACAAAAACAACTCTTACTCCAGTTCTAGTTTGTAAGGCTTCAGGGAGAGAAAGAAACTGAAAGAGGATCCAGACTGCGAGGTTTCCCTGAACTTGGGCTCAGTATCATCCAAGAAGACAAGCAGGAAGAATATGGTGACTGTTACTAAGGAAAAGGGGGCTTAAGAATGTTCACGATCTTTAAATATTATTATTTTAATGGCTTTTAGTGCCCCACCTAGTCTTAGCTCTGGTTGGAGCATATACTCTAGAACTATATTAGACTCTAAGACCAAGAAGCGGTCCAGGCAATGATGGCTACCCGACAAGGAAGAAGAAACAGCAGTCTGGGAGGCAGGAGCCAGGTGCCATGGCTAGAGCATCCTCTGCAAGCCTTAGCACAGCTCAAGCGGGGGTCTGTGCCCCCGCAAGCTCAGAACAGGAAAGAAGAGGATGGGCATAGTCTGGATCAGCTTTTAGTCTTCAGGTGCCACCTGCTGGCAAGAAGGCTCAGTGCAGGGACTTGCTGGCCTGGAGCCAGGGAAGGGAGGCTGCATGAGTCCAACCTAGACCCAGCCCTATTCCAGAGACTAGGCCTTCCTAGGGTAAAGTTCCCGAGTAAAGTTCTAGAGAGTATATGGGACAGATTGGGAAGTGATTTGGGGACCCAAGAATTAAGATGGTGGTCATTCACAAAAATAGGTAAAAAATATATTTGGGCATACACACATAAATAATTCAAAAAAATCAGGATGGAAATTTGAAAATGCTTAGAACTGAGCATGATAATGAAAATCCTACACATTAAACCTGTGGGCCAGGCATGGTGGCTCACACTTGCAATCTCAGCACTTGGGAGGCCAAGGCAGGAGAATCCCTTGAGGCCAGGAGTTTTAGACCAGCCTGGGCAACAGAGCAAGACTCTGTCTCTACAAAAAAATTTAAAAAATTAGCCCAGTGTGGTGGTGCATACCTATAGTCCCAGCTACTCAGGATGCTGAGGCAAGAGGATCACTTGAGCCCAGGAGTTTAAATCTGCAGTGAGCTGTGATCGTGCCACTGCACTCCAGCTTGGGCGACAGAGGGAGACTCTGTCTCAAAAAAAAAAAGGAAAAAAAGAAAAAAACTTGTGGGACAAACTAAAGGGAAGCTTAAAAACTTCTTAACAAACTTCTTATTTACAGAAATAGGCTGACAATAAGCTAAGCATCTGCCTCAATAAGTTGGAAAAAGAACAGAATAAAATCCAAAGAAAAATGAAAATATGAAAATAAGGAACAAAAATAAATAGTATTAGGAATTTTTAAATGCATGTAACTACAGATACTGTAGCTGCTTAAAAAGTAATAATACTGTGAGCAACTTTATGCCAATAAATTTAAAATGGATTGTTTCCTAGGAAATATAATTTACCTAACAGAGAAGAAAAAAATCTGAATGAACTATAATAAATTGAATCAGCAGGTAAAAATCTACATACAACAAAAAGTACCAAACCCAGATGGCTTTATATGAGGGAGAAAAAAATAGTATCAGATTCTGTAGGACCCTATAATCCCCAATAAGGAGTTTGGACTTTTATCTTAATGATAATTAGGAGCCACTGAAGGGTTTTAAGCAGGAAAATAATGTAATGCTCTCTACATTTTAAAATGATGACTTCGCCTGCAATGCGATAGGTGGATTGGTGTGGGATCCAGGTTGGAGACTTATAATAATGCAGTTAAAAAATGCTGAAAGCCTGGATTAGGGGAGTTCCCGCAGAGCTGGAAGGAAGGATTTAGGAGATGTTTAGGTCAGGCAATGATTTGGCCTGAGTGGTAGGGGTGGGGGCATATAAATCGGAGGATTGTGAGGGAGAACGAGTAATTTAGGATGAAACCCAGATTTCTGTTTGGGTAACTGGGCTCTTGGTTGGTGCTCTTCAGTGGGACTGGGAAACTGAGAGGAGAAGCCGGGAAGATGATGAGGCCATTTTTTGCCATGTTGAGGTGCCTGAGAGACATCCTGTGGAATTATATAGGAGATTGATAGAAGGGTCTAGACCCAGAAAAAGGGTCTAGGGTGGAGATATGGTTTGGGAATCTCCTAAACACCTGGATTCTCCCAATTTCAAGGCCAACTAACTATGAACACATGAAATCTCCAGATCATTTTCCCAAGTGTAAAATACTGATACCAGCTCCATCTCTTCCCCAAGGGAAAATGAAAATAGAAATCATCAAAGTGAAAGGACTTTGAATCAAAAAGCTTATACTTGGCCAGACGTGGTGGCTCATGCCCGTAATCCTAGCACTTTGGGAGGCAGAGGCAGGAGGATCACTTGAGGTCAGGAGTTGGAGACCAGCCTGAGCAGGAGCAAGACCCCATCTCTACGAAAAATAGAAAAAATTAGCCGGGCATGGTGGTGCACATCTGTAGTCGTAGCTACTTGGGAGGCTGAGGCAGGCGGATCACTTGAGGCTAGGAATTCAAGACCAGTCTGAGCAACACAGTGAGATTCTGTCTCTACAAAAGATAGAAAAAATTAGCTGGGCATGATGGCACGCACCTGTAGTCCCAGCTACTCGGGAGGCTGAGGGAGGAGGATCGCTTGAGCCCAGGAGTTTGAGACCAGCATGAGTAACATAGCAAGACCTCGTCTCTACAAAAAAAAAAAGAAATTTTTTTAATTAGCCAGCCATGGTTGCATGTGTGCCTGTAGTCCGAGCTACTCAGGAGGCTGAGAAAGGAGCATCACTTGAGCCCAGGAGTTTGGGGCTGCAGTCAGCTGTGATCGAGCCACTGCACTCCAGCCTGGGCACCAGAGCAAGACCCTATCCCCACCCCCACAAAAAAGTCTATCTCTCTTATGAGACTGTTAGTTCCCTGATGTCAGGTTCTGTCCTTATTCATGGTACATCTCTGAATCTCTAAAGCTCTGCACAGTGCCTGGCTTTCATTATAGACATATAACTACCAAATTAATTTTCTCTCTTCATAGAGGAGATAGGGTTTAAGCTGAGCCCTAAAGAATGAGTTAGACTTGGACAGATGAAAAAGATGATTAAGGAGGACAGGAAGGCAGACAGAAAGGGGCGAGGTGAGATGTATCTTAGTAGAGATGGGGAAAGTACAATGGGAGATAAAAGCATGTTAAGGTCAGATTTTGAATTCTTGGTATCCTCAGAGGAAAGAAATCTGGAGGCTGGCTGTCACCTAATACAACGGCGGTTTCAGGTCTAGGAGCAAAACGAGGAGATGCTGAAATTTGTTGAG